CCACACTGTACCCCCTTAAGACCCGGCCCCCGCTCCCAGGACCCCCCAGGGCCTGGCCACCCCCCTGGCACCCCTCGTGTGGCAGCCTCGTGGTTCCCAGCCGTGCCGCTGGGCCCAGCCACCCAGGAAGTCGCCCGACTGCCCCAGCCCACTCGGTGGCTCCCCCGGAACCCGAAGCCAGTTTGCGGCAGTTGTGGGCTTGGGTGGATGTGGGAGCCCGCAAAGGAGTCTGGCGTGTCAGCAGCCGGGCCTGCCACTGGCTCCTGCCTCTGGTGTCGGGGTGTCGCGTCACTGGCCCACGGAGTGGGGTGAGGTGGGTGCTGCAGACCCGTCCCCTGACTCCTGCCCCCACACTCGCGTGCACGCCTACGTGTGACCCCGGCGCTGTTCCGTGCGCTCTGTCCCTGAGCCAAACCCCATGTTGCTACTCGGGGAGCCCCCACATTTCCAGGTTCAGGCTCTGTGCGACGCCCAGACGCCCGCCTGAGGCCTCACCCAGCCTCTGCCCGTGCCCCCGGGTGCCCTGCGGCAGAGCCTGCCCCCGCAGCCCAGCAGGGCGGCCACAGGGAAGCCGCCACACCAGTGATGGCTGGGCAGAGGGGCACCGCGGGGGACGCCCGGGGTGTGGGCCAGGCCCTTGGCGGGTTTGTCACTTGGGTCCCCCACCCGCTGGGGACCTGGTGTCGCCTGAAGATGGACGGTGGCCTTCCCAGCCCTTGTCTGGTCAGCATGTGCAGGGATTGGGCCAGGGGGGCCTCCAGCCCCCCACCCCCCAGGGCAGGGCTGCCCCAGGGCCTCGGGAACAGCCACACAGAAGAGGATTCTGTAGGGCACCTGCCGCCACGGGCAGCCTGGGGCCATCCCGAGCCCTGGCCAGAGGGTGGAGTCTGGGGCACCCCTGCGGGAGCCCTCCCAGGTCAGGCAAGCGCAGGGGCCCGCCCCGCCCCTCGGCCCCACCACGGCTCTGTCCCCTGCATCCGGCTGCTGCGCCCCACACGGGCGAAGTCCGCCCGCCCGTCGGGGTGGGGCGCGCGTGGTCCCCGTCTCTGCCCCCTGCGGTGGAGGCGGCTGTGCGCCGGCTGCCTCGCTGGCTCGTTGTAGAACCGGGGCGTGAGAGGCTCCCCAGAGACACT